AAAAGTTGATAATCTTGTGGTAGAAGATTTGGCAAATCATTTGTCAGAGCTACATACAATAATGAAGGTGCAATTAAAGAGAACTCAAGAATAATAAAAAATTAATATAGATGCCTATGACAATGAATAACTAGAATTCATTATAAGTGACAAATTATAGTTAATTTGTCGCAATATCAAGACTACTTGTCATTGAAACAAGTTGGACTATTGTAGGCTTGGTCCTATCGATGAACAAGTAAATCTTGTTGCTTATCAATTATCTCTATTGGAGTCTATAAAGACCTACTCCATATTTCACGTACCCCTTCTTGAGCCATATAAGATAGTAAATATCTTAAGAAAAAGACAAATGCTACTTCTTTCTATAGAAATGGATAATAATCAAGAGTTTGAGGTAGAAGAAGTCTTAGATTCAAGGCGGCACTGAAATAGATTAAAATATCTTATTCATTGGCATGGTTATGATATTAATGAATGAACATAGAAGCTACCAAAAAATCTTATAAATACAATAAAGAGAGTTGAAGCTTTTTATTGACAAAATCCATCAAAACCAAAATGAAGAATAGAAAATTTTTGATATAAAAGAAACAAGATCAAAAGAAGATAATACTCTATCTTTTATCCTTCTTTGTAGCTTCTATGTATTTATGATGCTAAGGAGATGGAGGATCAACAACCAAAAAATTCAACTCAAGAACTTTTATTTGTGGACTTATCAAATAAAACATTGCAATTATCACAAACTTTAAGATAATAGAATCAAGATGAAGATCCTTAAGAATGATATGTCTTTCTTCAACTGGATGGCGAGATACAACATGTTTCATATCACAACCTTAAAAGAGACTCTTGGCATTTGGTAATTTTATTAGAGGTAGGAAATTTTTTTGATGGTGTTTCATAATACTTTCTAGAGAAATTTCTTAGAAGCTTTATAGACATTGCTTTGACTTTACATATATTTGTAGTTGATTGGTAGGTTAAAAACTTAGTCAACAAGTTAACCACGTGTTAGTAACTTACACAGCAAGCTAATTATATGGCACACATATAAAAAACTTACCTTACAAGTTAAGATATACTTTTTGCAAAGTTAATACGTTTTAGAGGTCTTATAGGACATTGCCATATAGCTCCTAGTTAAGAGTATATATGGAGGCAAGAGTGAAGCCTTCTTAACTCTTATCAAGGCCTTTCTAGTCCTTAGTCTTTCTTCAAGACTTTCTCGTATTCTTGTTTTTGGAAATAGCCATTCTAATTCAATATTATATCATCTTTGACTGACTTTCTAGTTTGTTTAAGTGACACAAGAGTGTATTGAGGATTTTCTTTCTTTAAGGTTCATATCCTTGACAGTCTAAGTAAGTTCACAATATAGTATTCTCTTTACAATTCAATAAGTTCAAGGAAGGAACTTGAATATGCGTGCAATCAACAAATTTGACCATTACACATATTAGAATGAAGTAGGATCCATAAATAATCAAATTGTAGTATTCTACTTTTCTGGATTTTGAACTAAAAGAGAACATAGAAGAAATAAAATCATAGCCAAAGTTCTATCATTGCTCCAATTGAGACTTTTCAACCTCTAATATTGATATATTTAATTATAAGCATATAAACCAAGGCACATAATCAAGTTCAATGTGATTTTAGTTGAGGTCAATGCCAATTGCAGCATACAGCTACCATAGCAACCAAAAGAAGAATTAACTTCTATTGCATCTCAAAAGAAAATAAAATATCTAAAAAATAAATAAAATACAAATCCAATTGTAATACAAAAAATAAAGATAAGATATAGTAGATCATAGAAGCAAACACCACTATAATATTGCCACTCTAGAATTTATAAGGCTTTACGTGCCTAATAGAGGCTCTTGACAATCATTTATTGGTAGAAGCCTTTAATTTGGCTTTACTTTATACAGACCAAATAAATCTGCTACAATTACTGCTGTTCTTATAGATTTGAAGCTCCACACATATCCAACCTCTATATGATTCTAATCCTTGATACAATACATCTATTTCAAACTAGCAACTAAAACTAAAGAATAAAATAATAAAAAATAATAAAAAATAATAAGAAGAATCCAAATGGTTTTCTTTCTCTTATTTTCTTTCTTTTCTTTTTCTCCTTCTTTTGATTTCTTTTTCTTCTACTATTCTTTTTTGCTTTTCTTTTCTCTTCCTATTCTTATTTTTTTTCTTTTATTCTATTATTTTTTTTATTTTATTTTTTAAAAACTACAAAAGTATTTTATTTTGTTTTTTGTTTTTTTTTGTTTTTTTATTTTTTTGAATTGCTTTGGATGAATGATTCTATTTAAATGCTTGTTCAATTAAATATTTAATGAAGATAAAATTGTTATTAAAAAATCATTAATTTTTATTGATTAATCTAAAAAAAGATATGTAATTTAAAATCTCTTCTCAAAGACAACTCTATAAGAGATTCATTCTTATAATAAATATATATATATATATATATATATATATATATATTATCTCAAAATTCCTATACTAATTCACTAAACTAGTGATTATAATACACATGGTATTATCTAATCCATCAAGGTCACTATGGGCACTTTATTGGTGGCTCTATTGACTCCACTAGGTTTATTCATATATTTATATGATTTAGATACATCACTTGAGTTGGAATAAAATCTCTTTCTTCTTACCCAAATAACCATCTTTCATGGCCAATCTTTCATTTAGAACTTCTATTCTTTATAGATTTTGGTGCTTATAAAGAAGCTTTCTTGATGGATGCTTCCAAATTTTTTTCACTACATTTTCTTATATCTCTCCCTTCCAACAATGTGATCATTGATCCTTATAGTTTCATGCCTAATTTATCTAAGATTTCTTCTCTTGATCCTTAACAGGATTTTTTAAAGAATAAATTACTTTACGCATCTATTTAAATCATATATAGGATTTAAAGAGCACTCAAGTCTAACAATAATATTTTCTTTGTTGGTGGATTTTTAGCCACCTTGGCAGATCTACTTTCAATTTATGAAGTACTTATAAGTGAAGATATCTTCCATTGGTACTTAGCTATAGAGAGTGAATATAATTCTTTAATCAAGAATGGCACATGAAAATTGATATCTTATCTTTCTTATTGCTATATTGTCTATATTAAATGGCTATTTTATTGAAAATATAATTTTGATGGTTCTTTAGCATGCTTTAAAGCATGATTTATTGCTTAAAATTTCTTGTAATAAAAAGATATTGATTATTATAAAACTTTCTTTTTTGTGATCAAATTGACATCTCTTTATTTTTTTTTTTTGCTTTAGCTACTCATTATAATTTTTATATTCATCAAATACATGCTATTACAACCTTTTTAAATGAGGTTCTTAAAGGAGACATTTACATCACTTAATCCAAAGGCTCTATTGTATCTAGTCATAAAAGCAAGGTATGTCATTTATTTAAATCCTTATATAGTGTAAAAAAAACTCCTTTCATATGATATAATCTCTTTAATAACTTTTTTGTTATTAATGGATTTTCAAAATATATTTTGGATATCAATGTTTATTATAAATACTTATCTATATCTATTATCTACTTTAGACTTTACATTGATGATTTATTTTTAATCTCAGATGATTTTTCTTATTTCATTTTGATTAAAGCTCTCTTCTCTTCCTATTTTTTTTATGATAGACGATGACAAAATTTATGGCTAAGCCTAATCCAATTCATTGGACTACTTTAAAATATATAATCCATTATTTAAAAAGAACTCAAAATTTTGGACTAGAATAATTCAAGTTCTTCTCCCACATCTCCACCATAACTTTATGGTTAAAGTGATGTGGATTATGCAAGAAAAATAGATGCTTAAAAATCTACTTTTAGATACTTATTTTACCTCAACTCATTTCTTTTGAGTTGGCATTCTAAGAAATAAGCCATAGTAGTACAATATATTCTACTTTCATACCATTACATTCAAGAAAAAATAAAGGCAAATAAAGTTATTTTAGAATTTATACATACAAATGATATAAAAGTAGATATAATGACAAAATCACTGTGAAAGTCCAAATACAACTTCATGAAAGATTAATCAATATTGATAATTCAAATATAATATAATCTATGATGATTTAGAGAGAGGTGTTAGATTTACTAATATATGTTAGATTAAATAATATATATTAGTGAATATAGAATTATCTTTAGGTTGTTACAAAGTAGTTATGAAGAAGTTATAACTACTTCTCTCCATGAGATAATATAAAAAGCTCTTATTATTATAATGTAATCAAGTTATTTTATTAACATACTTTATTTTATCATTCTTAGTGTTCTTTCTCTTACATCAGGGGCCTCTCACTTTAACACAGAGAACAACACCCAGGCTGAGTCAGGTACACAACACGAAGAGGCTTCAACATTTGTGTCCACTTTACCTTCAATCGTTTCCTTATGCTACCTGACTACATATGAGCTGGCAAATTCAAACGGAATATAATTCTTTAGTGTGTCTGGTGCTTCCGTCTCTTGTTCCCAACATGTGGGGAAATTTGCTAGCATGTGAAGGAATATCATTGCCGTGAAGAATTGTGCAGTTAAAACTGCCCTTTCAGCCGGTGTCGTGTGGAGATTTTAATCCAAGCGTGTGATGAAGACTGGTAAGTTCCACGCCCTATCAATGGCTTTGAGTAAACCTACAGAGCACAACACCAATGGCTTATCAGCTTTCCTGTTTCTTACTCATGTAGGAACACAATGACCACCACATCCCATAGAATGTGATGCCCACATTGCAAATCCACACAATGGGATACAAAGTATCTGATTTGCATCGATCCTCTCCTTCCTGTCATAGGTGGACGAGTTTAGAATAGAAAATCATTGCGTTCGATCGACACTTAATATTTTCATTTTCTATGACTTCGATAAGCTACAGCTCGACACTCTCAAAACCTTGCAAAAGCCGACCTCATAATGGAACCTGAGCTTTCGTGGAGGAGAGTTGACGTGAAAAAGCTGAAACTCGTGGGCTACAACATCGGAAGGCGTTCGCGTTGTCGCCACCCTGGTATTAGCCAAGCGTTGACCTTGTCCATCGGTTGCACTTGATCGAACACGACACAGCCATTACAATACCCACGAATGAAAGCGGACGAAGGCAAGCAGGCAAAATCTTCCTCTCTTTCAGTGCATGTTCGTTCGCGTAGACACGGCTGTGTAGATAATCATGATTGAGGTCGGGTTACTAAACAAAGTGAGCACTGTCTTTGGCGAAGGATGGAGTCTATTCTCCGTCCCCCAAAACCCACAGCTAACCTCGTCAAATCAGGTGGGAGTTGACCTCAAAGTAAACACCTCAGTAAAGGAGCACCTTCACAACTTTAGAAAATCTCATACGTCTCAATACATTGACAGACTATTCCACCAAGATGAAACCTGGACCAAAGTTACATGCACACGTCCACCACAGTTAAAAACTCCCGTATATAACCAAGTCCATGGGCATGATCTCCAGTGTACCGGCTAGACGCCATGGCAAAGCATCAGTTGCTGCCGCTCGCAGCGCTTATACTTCTGGCGTCGGCAGATACTCATGTGACCCAACCTCCAGTTCTTTAATGAATTCACACTTGTCTACATTTTAGCTTCGCCGGATGCGCTGTCCTGGAGAATGTGATGCTGCGTCGCTGCGACTACTGCTCAGGTTACGATGCCACTGTTCATCACGTTATCGAAGACGGCTGGAATGAACTTGACGTTGGTGGTGGTGCATGGTTTGTGATCAGGTGCTGCGAGTGCTACGTATTTCGCAGCGGGATTCAAAGACTGTGACAAAGATTACGCCAAGAATGGCTGCGAGATCAACGTCCACACCGACCCCAACAACTGCGGCAACTGTGGTATCAAGTGCGGCGGGTGTGCGAATGCCGTACCTACCTGCAAGTCCGGAAAGGGCGAGTTCTCCTGCACAGCACCGTACCAGAACTGCGACAACAGCTGGAGCGACGGGTGGGAGATCAACGTGAGCAACGACGTCAACAACTGCGGTGGGTGCAGGAAGAAGTGCAGCCCTGTGGCACACGCCAATGTTAAGTGCAGCAACAGCAAATGCGAGTACACTTGTCACCCAGGGTGGAGGAACTGCGACAACAACTGGATGAACGGGTGCGAGACGGAGGTGAGCATGAACGTGAACAACTGTGGCGGGTGCAATATAAAGTGCTCGCAGCCAAAGTACTACGGCGGTGAAGCGGGATGCACGTAAGTGTGGGGAGTCATCGGATTTCAGGGTGTGGATGTACTTGCATGCGGGGGTCGGTTGCCGGGCGTTCTGTCATGCGCGCTCTGTGCTGAATCGAGGCTATGTGTATGTGTGTGCACAAAAACGGCAGATGCGAGGCGGAATCTTGCAAGAAGTGGCTGAAGTATGAAAAGGCGAAGTAGTGCTGTGTGGAGAACAATGGTGGGAAGGACGACGGCAAGAAGGGAGGCGATGGCGACAAGAAGGGAGGCGACGATGGTAAAAAGGGAGGTGATGATGGAAAGAACGGGGGTTATGACGGGAAGAAGGGAAGCGATGGCGGCAAAAAGGGGGTGAGGGTGGCAAGAAGGGAGGTAAGGACGGCAGGAAGAAAAGCAGTGGTAAGTGTTGAGAAGATGACGAGTAGGGCGGAGATGCCTACTAGAATTTAAATGGCGATGGCATAAAGGAATGTAAAGATGGAGGTGATTGGAGATAGCAGAATACCAGTTTAAAGGGGATATAAGCGGGCTACCGATGAAGGTACAACCGTTTAATTAACTGAGTCAACTTTGGGAAAATCTATGGCTTATCCGAGAATGCATCAGCAGTGGAATCAGTGTTGTAAGTCTCAGGTGTAGTATATGTGCAGTAGAGTGCTGTAATGGAATGATCGACATGAAGCAGTTTCGGATTGTAAGAGAAGCATTCACGTTCAATATAATTATTGTTCCAGTGCCACTTACACACGAGTAGTACATGAACCAGCTAGCCCTTTCGAGGGTACCTGCGAGGTTTATAAGAATTGATTGAAGCTGTACTACTTCTGTTGTGTCTGCTCTGGTGATGCGGAAACATATGTGGTCATCCACTTGCAGCATTAGCTTGTATACCTATCTATGTATGCATTGTGTTATGCACTCAACGAAGGTGGAACGCCTGGATGCCGCAACACGTCAACATCGAACTGGCAATCTCTGGATGTATCACTTGCTTACTGTTCAAGTTGTATTAGCGGCGCTAGAATCTTCTACTGCACATTCACTGGAGGAAACGGCATCAAATTGTCTGAACTCGTCTACAACATTCCGTGTTACCTACTGTTGAAAACCTTGCCTAGTTGCATCGTCGAAGCACCGTAGCTAGTACGCCAAATGTTATCTGTGTACCTCGGGACATGCAAGGGAGGCTACAAAAGGGAGACTGCAAAAGGGGGAATATAAAGTCTGGAGGAAGAGGGGTTTGAAACCGCCACGGACAGACACTAGGGGTGCTGTAGGGGTTTCTTGTATTAGGGCTTGGTGGTCAGTAAAAACTCAATCAAAGTTTAGGTGGCTGGTTTTTATAAAATGATCCCATACAAATGTTCTCCGTTTGTTAATGAAATGATTTAAAGTGATTTTTTATTTTTTTATTTCTGTTTTTTTATTTTTTTATTTTATTTTGATGTGATAGAAAATGGGATTTGTCTGATTCATTGATAGGCTAAGATATGTTACCAAAGTAATATCTTATCTCTTAATACTAAAGAAGGCAAAAGAAGAGTCTCAAGTGAAGTAATTACAATATTTAACTATATATATATAGATATAGATATATTTTTGTGTATTATCAAGCCCTATTATGATATTGTGCAATTTTGTTTAATTACCTTGCTAATCTTATAACCAATGAGGTGATTTGCCATTTATGATTTGTTCTGAAAAGTGTAATCTTGTATTTGGACTGAATTTTTTAATTTGTTTGTGATAACTAACGAACTAAATTGATCATATTCTATTATCTTTTTCCATGTCAAGCTTCTTACATAGATGCTATTTCATAGTTTTTTTTTTAAGTACAAAATTATTTCTTAGAGTCTTCATTCTATCAAAAATATACATATATAAACCAATAATTACCTATATGATTAGATAAAAGTAAGTAAAAATAAATTAATTCCATAATATCTTTTATAGAAGCTTTCTAGAAGCTTTATAGATATTGCTTTGACTTCATAGGTATCTATAATTGACTTTTTAGGTTAGAAAAATGGTCAACAAGTTAGCCATATACTATGCATGTTGGTAGCTTAAAGAACAAGCTAACTATGTGGTACACATATAGAAAACTTGCCTTATAAGCTAAGGCATGTGTCTTGTAAAGTCAACACATATTAGAGGTCCTATAGAATATCACCATATAGCTCCTAGTTAAATAATATATATAGATGCAAGAGTGAAGCCCTCTTTACTCTTGTCTATTCTTTTCTTGCTTCTAGTCTTGATTCAAGAGTTTCTTGTTTCATTGTCTTTTGGCTATAGCCATTCTAGTTTCTTTTTAATATACATATTTTTTTATTTTAATTTTATTATACTTCTTTATTTACTTTCATGAAGTTCTTGTCCCTAACAAATTGGCAAGAGTATACTTATAATATCAGAGCCTTGTCTTTTCTTGATTAAGAGTAAATTATCCCTTTCTTTTGATAAGACATAAGTATATTAGAAGTTACAGATTACCTTCTTTTAAATTGATATTATTCTTAGTATCTTCTTTAATGTCTAATCCTTTCTTCTACAAGACTTGAGCAAAATTAGATTTTTTATTTCTAAGTATTATGATGGTAGAGCTTCTTGAAATAATGAGTGCAATGGCACAAATATAAGAGTAATTGAGAGAGTTAATGCTTGTGATGCATCAATTCAATTTACCATGACAAAAAGCAACAAGAATGGTAAGACGTGAAGATATAGATATGATTGGAGCTACTTCAATATTTGCACCAAATCATGTCTCTTCTCCTACAGTGGAATATCCTTTTGGTAGTAGAAAACTAAGAGTTGCCCTACTTGAGAAGTTTGATGGCACAAGATCCAAATTTTCAGGATTTATCACTCAATTATAACTTGTGATTGAACTTCAATCTCAAAACTATGCAACTTTAGGATCACAAGTTAGATTCATTGGTACACTTCTTTTACGTTTAATATTATTGTGGTTTTCATCTATTCTTAATTAATGAGATCCAATACTAAATAGTTTAGAGGCTTTCTTGGTAGATTTTTGATCCATATATAGAGAACATGATACAACTCATGTTGCAACCAACAAGATTCATATTTTGTAACAAAGCAATTAATCCTTAACATTATATGCTTCTCAATTTTAACAACTTGTAATTGATATTAAATAGGATGATGCTGCACTTATTAGCAAATTTTTCTATAGATTATAATATGAGGTAAAGAAATTAATGTTCAACTTATTTGATCCTTAAACATTGAGGCATGTGATTGACTTTGCTAAGATTTGTGACAATCAACTTTTCAAATTTTGATTTGAGAGTTGGATAAGTAGGCCTCAACGTTACTATAATTCAATGGCAACACGAGCACCTCCTCAATACATACATTTGAAAGTAGATGATATGCAAATTGATGCGATATGTTTCAAACCTCTTATTGAGCAAGAAAAGACTTGTCACCATTAAGAAGGATTGTGCTTATATTGTGGAGAATCTAAGGACTTTGCTCAAGATTATCTAAAGAAGTAATGTAATTATAAAATGAAGAGTACAAATGTCAAAGAAGATAATATATCAAAAAATAAGTTTATGCAGCTATAATAGGAACCATGAAATCCAAATCTTATACAATACCTAATAAAGGTCATATTCTCTCCTCAGAATCTTCAACTTATTTTATATTAAATATTATTATAGGACCTAAACATTATAAAGCCTCTGTCTTGTTAGATTCAAGAGCCTCAGTGTATTTCATAGATAAAGAAATTATTAAAAGATTTAACATATCTTTAATAAAGAAAACTAAACCTATTCATATAGAAGTCATAGATGGTCGCCTGTTGTCTTTTGGAGATATTACTCACAAAACCCTTCTTACAGAAGTAATAATCAATGGTTATAATATCTTTGTGGTATTTAATATCATTAAATCTTCTTCTAATCTAATCATTTTAGACTTATCATGGCTAAAAAAATATAATCCTTAAGTACATTCGATTTCTTGTAGTCTTAATTTTTCTAAAAATATAACTAAGAGTCTAATTAATTAAGTAAAAAATTACAAATCTAGTACAATTAAATGTATGTTTGTAGATATAAGAGCTTTCTTGTATACTACAAAAGAATGATCACCTTGTTTCATTTATGCCACATCCATTTCTAATAGTACAAAGACTTTAAGTGACATTCCAAGCCAATATCAAGAATTTCAAGCTCTATTTGAGAAAAAAATGTGGATACTCTTTTGAAACATCATCTCTATGATTGCTCAATTGACCTTCAAGGAGGAGCACAATTACCATTTGGATCAATCTACAATTAATCACAAAATGAGTTAACTGAACTTAAGGAGTATATTGAAGAAAAACTAGCCAAGAACTTCATGTGTCATTCCAAATCTCCAACAAAAGCTCCAATTCTATTTGTGAAAAAAAAAGATAGATCATTGCAGATGTATATTTATTATTGAGGACTCAATAAGATCATTATCAAAAACATGTACCCACTACCTTTAAGATCTAAACTTCTTGCTCAATTGAATCAAGCTAAGATCTATACAAAAATAGATCTATGAAGAGCATATAATTTGGTACATATCAAAGAAAGAGGTGAATGGAAGATTGCATATCAAATTAGGCATGGATATTTTGAATATAATGTTATGTCTTTTGGACTTACTAATGTACCAACAACTTTTTAACATCTTATAAATGATATTTTTTTAGAGTTTTTGAATAATTTTGTTTTTTGTTATCTAGATGACATCTTGATCTATTCTTAGACACAAAAAAACATGAATTTCATAATAATCATGTATTACAAAAATTAAGAAATGTGGGACTTTATACCTAGATAAAAAAAAGTGTGTATTCTACACTACTCAAGTTGACTTCTTAGGTTATATCATTTCAAATCATGGACTTATGATAGATCTTTAAAAAGTTCAAACTATTATGGATTTGAAGATTTCAAAAACAGTACCATGTCAGGGTAGAGAGAATTTGCCTCAAGAAAGTACTGGACTCTTGGCTGCTATTAATTGCTTAATCAAGTCTTGAAATAAGAAAGACCAAGTTTATATATATATATATATATATATATATATATATCTTTTAAGTGCTATTACAGCAAATATATAAGTCTTAAGTTCCCAAAAATATCCAAAATATGATAAAATCTCTAAATCCTTAAATATCATTATGGAGTATTATTTCCAAACTTCAAAAATTCATATCTTCCAATCGGACCATTCAAACACACTCATATTTTATAAAAAGTACTGATATACTTTTAAAAACTACAACAATAAATTTTAATTACAAATTTATTGCAGATCTTAGGATATTACTAAAATCCTAATTGTAGCTTCAAACCTTAATTTTTATATACTTATATGTAATTTTCTTCATATTTCACAAATTAAATATTCAAATACTACAAAATTTATATGTATAGCTTTTTAATACAATAATCTACCTTCTTCATAAGGTTTGAGATAAAAATTCGTCCAAAAACTCAAGATATGGCTCCAACCATTACTATGAATAAAATCACTTACTTACTGCCTTTGATTTGGATGCGTTGACTTCAACTCTCTATAATTTCTTCATCTAAATTCTAAATTCATCAAATAATATATAAAAAGTATAGTCAAAAAAATGTTCTCTTCAATCTCAATCGCCAATCCTTTGTTGCTCTCCGTAGATGTACGTTATGCTCCAAAGAATGACACTAGGTAT